GGTTGAAAAGCTTCTACCAAAAGTATTTGAGGATTTAAGTTTTGCAGGCTGCATGTCTTCTAGTAAGTGGTTTATGCTAAGAATTAAGGCTTGATTTATGATACAAAAAAAAAACACTTGGGGTGATTCATAGGCGAGGAAATGGAGACTGAATACAGATTGTGACGAATAAGGTTACAAATTTGGGTGAGAAACAGAGTCCTCTGTTTTCAGTTTTGATACGTTTCCTCTGTCCTCTGTTCTCTTATCTTAGTTTCTCCTCTTTTAAGGTAATTGAACTTGTGTCTGAAGTTGTCACATTTTGTTAGATTGAGTACTAGCATATTTTACCGCTATATTAAAGTTTTAGCTATCAATAATTTTGTATCACTGAGTTGAGGACCTAATAATCTCTGTCTGGAAACAGATAACTGTCCTTGAGAAGTTCATTGGCAACTTATGTTGTAAGTTATCAAAATTTGTAAAGTTTTGAAAGCAGATTGGCACTTGGAGAGTGAGTCAGTGACATTATTACGAATCTTGATGATAAGAGTAATCTTTTGTGTATGAAAACAAAGAGTGGCACTTGAAGAGTTAGTCGTTGGTCAATCCAGTTGGCTCTTGCTAGACTCTGTTTAAATAACATTGATTGGTCTTCACCATTTATTTACTCGTAATGTTGACAGAGAGTAGCAACTCAAGATGAGCAAAAGGCTGCTGGTATTCTCCGCACGTCATTTATAGATTCTTTCATTTTCGGTCCCCTATATATTAGTATTAGCCATTGTAATAATGAGAAACTTCAGGAACAAGACACAACTCCATCAATGGGGAATCCAGTTGATAAGAAGTTTTGTTGGGTAATAAAAGATCTCTACTCTTTGCAATCTGACAAGTGTTACTCTGTTCCATTCTTGATCAGCGACTGCAAATGGTAAAAATTTTGACCTTTTTTTGGTTAATAGATAGACTTAGAAAGGAAGTCCATACAATAGAGAAGTCATTCTCTCTCAGACACGGTTTTTGAGAAAATCTTATACCACTGGTTAAACATTTTTGGTCAAAAAAACTGATGGGTTTTTGCCGGTTCGGGTAAGTTTTTCAAAACCAACTTTTCATCTACCTCCTCTACCAAACTTTCTTTACTYGTTTGGGGAAACTGAGGTTGAAATCGGAGCTCCGGCGACGGAAAGCTCTGCATCGGAGAGTTATTGGAACTATACTCACGGGGAGATAGTCGGAATGGCTAAAATGGGGWAGGATTTCGAASTTTATTGGGGTCTCTTGGCTCAAAACAGTGGAGGAATACTCTCCTGAGCGACCGCGAAGCTCAGTTCATCTCCGACCCAGGAATCCTCAATTTTACTGCTGTATGCAGCGTTTGGCCTCTCTTTTTCTGCATATCATGTTTACTCTGAAGTAGAGTGGTACAGGTTATTTGACTGGAAGTTCTTATTCTTTTTTACTCTTTGCTAGAGATTATTGAAGATTACTCGAGGTTTCGAGAGTTGGGTTCAGGCTGCTGGTTTCTTAGTCAGAATTTTGCGATAGAACGAAATCCCGGAGATTTTCTCAGTKAGTTTCCGGTATGGAAAGAAGATTTACTCGGGAAGAYAAAGGTAAAGGAGTATCCTCTGGTACAGGGCAGAGGCGTCGTTCTCCGCTGCGTATCCCATTGGAT